TTTATCTACCTATAAACCTTTTTCTTACTCAATATCAAGCCACACTTATTGTTTTTATTTCGGCTGTGAATTTGTGTGTGTTCAGGTTGAGTTTGGCTGTGTTTCGCTGTGTATCGCTAAACAAGGAAATCACACCTCCACGGAGCTCAGCGCAATTCGTACCGACCAATCAGAGCACACTGTGCTCACAGGGAGGGGGGGCTGCAGCGAGCCGTTTAGTGGAGAAAGGGAATGCTGCTGAATACACATACTTTACAGAGATGCTGTATGCGAAACCAATGTGAGTTTGGAAAATTGCACAGTATTTTTCTATTTTAGTATACCTCAACAATGGAATTATGATCAGTGGAAATGGCCATGACATGTGACCTTTAAAGTAAAATGCTTCAATCTGGTGCACTTTAAGCAGAATTACTACTAGATCTAGGGGGTACAACTCTAAACACCCATATGAAAAAGATTGGTTTACATTTTATTAATCAAATAAGTATGTGAACATAACCAATAACCTACCATAGCCAATAACAAATAAATGTAACTTATTTTATTTTTGTTGTTCATTCATATCTTATTTGACCTATTAACATTTTTTTTAATCTCTCCAGTTTAAAACAATATTTTTGGTTTACTGTCCTATAGTATACATTGAAATGATTTCAAACCTGTTTTATCCCAATAATTATAAAGGAGTGCCTTGTAAATATTTGTTTACATAAATTGTGACCAAACCGTTTGAGACCCACTGAGATAACTTAGACTAATGTGAACTATCTAAACACTCAGAGTCCTTTATCTCACTGAGCTGTAGTTATCAGCCTCTCAGTCTGACTGGGGAGGACTCTCCCTCCACATAAGAAGTATGTAAGTAGAAACGTCTTCTTCTAATATCCGTTAGAGCAGCTAGCACCAGATTCTAATAACAACAGCACCCTCCCTCTCTCCCTCATTCGCTCCCAAGCTCACTCGCACTTTGGCTGTGAGCTGCGGGCGCCAGATAAGCCAACATCCCCCATTTTCATCACTTACAGCGGCCATCGTACAGGGCAAATGAAAAGTGTAACCGGGTCAAAAAAGGGTGTTACATTTACTTAATTATGAATGTTGTTACATCAAGGCCGAAAATTAGGATGAGCACCAACGGTCAAAAATGTTTTTCTACCAGCGCAGCGCCTCCCCAGATCTTGCGCCCTAGGCAAAAATCTATAACGCCAGTGCTACGGGCCGGCCCTGCTCTCACGGTGCTGATATCTGGAATTGTTTATATATTCTTGATCAAATAGACGAGTTCACATTTTCTCACACGCGCTGGTTTGTATGTTTAGCAACTCAAACATTGACAGATGGAGGAACAGAGAGATATTGACGTGTTTCCTTTTGGCTAAGAGTCTGGAATTATTATTACGTTTAAAGATTTAAACCCTGGAGCCAATTAAAGCACCTTTAACGACTGTCCGTGTTCTTTTGTGGCAGCTTTTCTAGGACAGAAATAAGACACACTCACAACATTACTGAAATTGGTCAGGGACACATACAGTACATACTGTAGTGTAAAAACAAGTGCAGCCTCTGAGTCTGAGACGACCGTGTAATGTTGTTTTCCTGAAATACAATCCATCCTAGAGGTTAATGTAATTTCCTTTTCTTTTTTTCCTCTCTATCTCATCTCTATCTTTCTTTACAATGTCAGCAAAGGTCCCAACAGCCGTCAAAATACAGGTATCAATGAGCAGGACCTTGTCTACCAAAACAATGTGAGCGAACACAGATGAGCGACTGTCTCTTCCAAAATTCACAAGAAATATGTTTACTACCAAAACAAGATAGACACATTGATAGAAGCCAGCTTTTGATTGTTCTTGAAAAAACAACAACACCGGATCTGTTTTAGCAACAACTAACAGTAGTTATGCAGTGTACATATACAATGATGAATCTTGAGGATCTGAAAGAATTTGCTACTGATTATGTAATCCGTCTCATTTTAAAACATTGGTCTTATAAGTATCGGTCTATTATTGTGTCTCACCGTGAGTGATGTGAAGGTCAGACAGATGCCTCCGAAGCCATTAAAGGAGAGAGCCAAGAAAATGAGCGCTGACAGGTCTGCGTTAAAAAATAAAACAGAAACACGGAAGAGTTCAAATCAACTCTCTCAAAAATAAAATCAGGACATGTCTTCAACCTCATCCACCGAAGTTTTTACAATCCTTTTATTGACTGCACTTGAAGATTAAGCAAGAAGTTTAAGTCACAATTAAGGTAAAAGTAAGCCTTTTTTTTCCTGCTAGATTTTTGCTTGTTTATGTTATGTTTGTACAACCGCCCTTCAAAATCCATCTTTATGAACTACCTGGTTTAGTTATAGGACATTTAATAATAGCTTCAAGAAAAGACATGTGACACTACAGTATCAGTTTGAGTTAAATAAATAGGCTTCAGGAAGTAAATATAGCATTTTTCGGTAGCTCACGGGCACTTCCTGTGTATTTAATACCAGCTGAGTAACTTAGTTTTATAATGTGTGTAGTGTGGTAAGAGGCGACTGTTGAACCTGATCCTGATTTCAATCACATCTGAAACTTAACTACCTGGTTTCCATTGCAGCCGGAGGCATCGGTTAGATCAAACAGTGAGATGGACATTTGTGAAGAAAGGAGTGTAAAGAATGTGGATAAAATGAAATATGGATTGTTTGGTCTATTTTTACATCTGTCCAATTACACCTGCTGTAAGTGCTCAATTGCCTTGTTGAAGTTTACTAATGGGTAACTTTGACCACACACAGATCACACTTTTTGACCTTTTGTGTCACTGCTGAGAAAATGTTTGTGGTAATGTATATGGAAATCTAATACCCTGTAAAATGCTCTTCTTCCTGTATGTTTTCAGTGCTTTATTTCTTATATTCTTATCACATTCCTGCTTGTCATTACACTTGTGAGATAATGTTGGATCAACTTGTACCTTACTCTTGGACTAATACATATGTTCTATGTATGTAGCGTTACGCTGCTAAATATTATACTTTATTTATACCTCACTATCATTTTTGTCATTTTTTATTTCAAAAATGGCACCACTTTATTTGTTTTTTAATGTTTTTATTTAGGGCATGCTTCATGTAGCCCTTATTGTCTTAGCTGTGAGTGAATTGTTTTATTTATTAATAATTTGTAAACGTGAAGATGTTGCTCTTCAAGACAAGCAGCATGTAATCATGACCACGGATGGCGTGCTAAAAGCTGACACTCAACTGAAAGATAACTGAAATAGATCTAAACATTTCTTACTTCACATTTTGCATCTGATTCATCGATATCCGGCACATGCATTTTTCACTGTATGTGTTTGTACTCACCCTGAGGATTGTAGTCAGACCCTGCCATTATAACACAGGACAGGCCGAAACAGAAACTGTAACAACATTTAAAAAAAGAACATAATAAGCTCTTACATAGCACATCTTATTTTCATTAAGTTGCATTTAATTATTTTAAGGAACAATGTAGGACGTATAAAAACTCCCAGAGGGCCTTGTTGGAAATACCACAGATTACTCAGCACTATCTGTTGGAGTAAGTGTCTTCAGTCATACAACTGCTACGCTATTTAGTGAAAGTATGATTCAAAATAGACACTGTTCAGTATGACAAAGAGATCGCAAAAGATAGACTGGAATACACTTTACCATATTTCCATACATGGAAAACATTAAAAGTAGGATTCACAGAACAGCAGTTATTTTGTTAGTTATCTGCCAAAGACTAAACTGTCTGTGGTTAAACCGATAAACTTATCTTCTACCACATTTCATCTGCTCTCAACTTATTATCAAAGCATATGGCTACTAAATTCCATTCAGAGCTGCCGAAACAGAGAATGAGTGAAGGAGGAAGTGAATGTGTGTTTGCGCGTTTAACATTTTACAGTAACACTTTGAATATACCGAGGGCAAATTATTCTGAAAGTTTATGTAAGGTCGGACGTTTCCACACTCGACACACCCACACCCACACCCCCACACACACACCTAAATGTATTCATTCGCGCACAAAATTTTAGGAATGTGAGCCGTCAACTTTTTTCTCAGTCTATCACCTCAGTAGTAGTTGAGGAATTTACTCTCCTTCCAGATTTCAGTATCGCAGAAATGTATAAAGGAAATCGGAAGTAGTCAAAAGGACAAATTCAACACCTTTTCAATAAGCAATTGTGAAAAAACGGATTTAGGTTTTTTATAAATTATAATGAAACAAGTTAACATGGTGAAATGTCTCTGACTAATTTACAATCATTACCTGCCCACCAGGCGAATTGGGCGTGGCCCAAACCTGTCCATCAGGATCCCGAGTGGCAGGGTGGTGGCACTGAGCAAGAAGGACCCAATAGTGAAGCCCAGATTCAGCATCTCTTCCTGGTCCAAGCAGTAGAGCCACTCAGCGTCACCTTCAGAAGAGTTACCCAAAGACATGGGGAAGGACTCATTCACTGTGGGGGCGAGATAAGACAGGGGAAAGTTAGAACATGAAAAGAGAAAGACCATGCGTTGGGTCTACAGCCGGTGGAGAAGAAAGTAATCAGGTACCAGATTTGCTACCAAAAAATGTTTCCTCCAGACTTTTCTCTAACCTTTGCCCTTTATTGGGTATTGGAAGAATTGTCTGTCTCATGTCTCTAAAGAGCTACAACAGGTAGACATATGCAATCAGTGTCACAGAGTTTCCAAGTAACGCTGCTTCCAAACTGAGGGATCACAAGCCATACACGTTGGAAATCACAGTTAACATTAGCTTTAAATAGTCATTATGTAGGGTCACAGAGACTCTGAGTACAGTGTACATTGAAAAAATATAAATAATAATTGCAAATTGCCATTTAAAAACAAATTAAATACATGGAAAATAGCCTTTTTCTTTGAATTAGCTTGCACATTTGATAAAGATATCAAAATATAGAAAAGCTAAGACAACCTTTTAATGATTAACAAGATATAATGGCTACCTATAAACAAAAATATACTCCTTTGAGTTGCTCAAGTCATTCACTTGTATTCAAATGTCCAGTATGTTATCTTAATAATAGTATTACTCATGTTTGATGTCAACTAGACCCAAGTTAACAAAACTCTAAAAAAACATGCAGCATACAAATGACTATAAACACCAACACAGATATACAAAATATAAAATTCCTCTGTAATTCTTCTGTAAATCAAAAAGTGTCACAGTGATTTAAGTATGACGAGTATGCTTTGGGAGCTGTTTAAGAGAAACACATCGAGGGTTAAGTAATGGACAGCTGCTGGTTTTACCTGAGCACAGGTGAGAGTAGAAGCCCTCTCGCTTCAGCATGATGAGCAGCGAGCCCCATCCCAGCAGCACGGCCGAACACAGCAGGTTCTCCAGCACCGCCGTCACCGCCATCCACCAGCGCCTCCTGTACGCCTGCAGGAGAGAGGGCGCCATCGCTGCTGCTCTGCGAGGAAACACATGTGAGAATTCATTTAATGTAGAACAAGCATTTTCCGATGTAAGGCCATTTTAGTGGGTAAATGATTGTCCAGCAACAAAGTATATAAAATTGATCACTTCCACATAGGCCCCTAGATTAGCTTTTATCCAAATACACAAAACTCAACAAGAAACTATTTATAGGCAGCAATCTATCCATTTCTATTAAACTATTGTAAATTAAATCCGTCAGTCAAATATACCATTTAATTTAAAGGTCCCATGTCATGCTTTTCCGGTTATTACCCGTCCCCTTGTTTGTTATGTAGCTTTTTATGCATGTAAACGGTCTGCAGTCACAAACCCTCAAAGTACACCCTGCAGCGAGTAAAACTCTAACACAGAAAAAAACTGTCCATACTGCCCCAGGACGCCTCGTTGGAGATTTTTCTTTTTCCATTTTTTTCTTCCGGGAACCAAGTGACGTAACGACGACCCAATGGACTAATTGGTCCAAATGGACCAATCCGTGGAGCTCCTCACACACCAGGATCCCTTGGTGTCACTATCAAACTCAGTGGGGGGACCTTTAGCGTACATTTTCAACTATCAGGGAGTGCCATTGACTTGCATAGAGCTCCCTGGTTGGTAATAGACGAGTTGGGATGGCGGAGAAATGCTCTCCGCAGACCCATTCTCACACAGCGTTATAAACCTTTTTCTTACTCAATATCAAGACCGTTTTTGTCTTTTCTTTTGTAAATAAGAAACAGTTTAATCTAACATTCGTTTCATTAACTTTATAATATGACAACATGTTGAGGTTTATCAATCAATGCAGGTTTAGCAGCGTAGTGTACATGGTCAAAGGTCAGAAAATGCTTAATAAATGTCGTATTTTTTACAGCTGCATAGTTTGTTTTAGAGAATACTGAGAACAAACTAACACAACTTTCCTTTATTTGAGGAAAATCACTCAGTTAAGCAGGACATAAGGCAAAGACAAGAGAGTGCCACAGTGACGCGTCCTAAAACCAGGAAGTGAGTCAGCATTTCACCACTTCCTGTTCCCTCGTCTCAGAGCCAATGGGATCTCTCCATAGGATTTTGGAAAATATCTGAAATAAGGTCTGTGGTTGAGATACATCGAAGAGACGGATCACGTTTTGTTCTACATTAAATCCATCAGCAGTGACCCCACTGGTGATTTCTGAAGAGTTTCCGTGTCTGAGAAACGATGGTTGTTACCAAGTGACTGATAGGACTACAGAAGTCGTGGAGGTCGTTGTACGTCATTACGCCGAACACGTAAACACTCCTCTAAGTTAGTTTCTGTTCTGCTTGAAAGCAAGTCCCTGCCTCCTGCAGACTGTTCAAACAAACGCTTCAACTCGTTCCATTTAGAATCTGTGTGTTTGAATATGGATCCGAAGTTGGCGTGACGTTGAAGCAGCAGACCCTGCTGTAGTTCGTTTATAGCATAAAGTTAGCATTTTGCTTCTAGCGATAAGATTTATGATTAGAAAATTATAAAAGTAGGGTAGACGTTGATATTATCCGACTGAACAAAACGTGACCCGTCTCTTAAATGTGTCTCAACCACTGTA